TCCCCCCAGCCGACGCTACACTCGCCGGCTCAGCCGATTAGGGCCGTCACGCCGGGGGGGGGGGGGGCCGGCCCCCCCCCGGAGGGCACGCCAGAACACCCACTTTAGGGAAACGACCCCGCCCTTCGTTCCCGTCGATCATTGCTGACCACATGTGAAAGATGGGCCTCGACGGTCGCCATGCCAACGACTGCCACTCAGGAGGAAGACCAGCGACAGATTTTATCAATCAAAACCCGTCGTCCTCCTGGATGTCAGACGGCAGCGGTTGCTGGGGCAGTAACACGGCCAGAGTCGGGCAACAAAACCCTGAGAGATAAACAAAAAATCTTAGATCTTAGATCTCTGTAGTTATTTATTTGACCAATACATGCAGGAAGAACACGCCTGAGGTCAGGGATTAGTGAAGGCTGTGGTCAACACCGACACCGACACCGACACATGGTTGACTGAAGAAAAGTGAATCAACGACCATGATGCCCCTGGTGCCAACACTAACGCAGTAACTGTACCTTTAGATGTAGTAGAAGTATTTTTTAAGTGAGGGGAGAAAAGCCAAGAGTTAAGAGATACAAAGAAAGTGAAACCGCAAGAGAGAAATTCAAAGAAGTCTCAAATTCTGCTTGGCCAAAAAAAAAAAAAAAAGATCCACGAGGCAAAAAAAAAAACAAAAAACCCAGCATCTGTCACTTTAGCTGTGATTGGGCCTCGAGGCATGATGTCATACGACACATCCATCGTACAGATCGTGCAGGGATACTTCAATACATCTTTGTAGACAAAAGACTTGTTTGGAAGAAAAAAGAAAAAAGACAGGAACGGTTAAGAGAGGAGGAGAATCAGGAATCACAGAAACCTGTCCTAAAACTCCTCCTCTTTATATTTCTGTCAATAAAAACAAATATTTTGTGAGTTTTATTAAAACCTTCTACTGCTTGAACCGGGTCCATCGCAGGGCAACGTTCAGAGACAAAACAACAGTTTCCTTTAGATCATACGTGTCAAACTCAAGGCCCGGGGGCCAAATGTGGCCCGCCAAGCCGTGTTGCGTGGCCCGCGGGAGCTTGAAAATCATTTAGTAAAGTCCCTGCAGCAGAGTTTCTTAATCTGAGAAAACGTTAAAACGTTTTTATAATCAATCAAATAATAATCAACAGCAGAAACATGTTTTAGTCTGTTATGGAGTAACAACATCTATAGCAGCGCTCGCTGGTACCACCTGGTACTACAGTACAGACCAGTACCAAGGTACTTGAAGAATCATTACATTTTCTTTTAGACTCTGTTCTGTTTGTATCAGAGTCACATGACTGTGTTTTGGTACCAAATGACAGATGGACTGGTACTGGTCCGCGGACCAGGGGTTGAACGGGGACCCCTGATTTATACAGTCTTCCAGTTACGCCTGGCCCTTCGTAGGGAACTGTATTACTGATGTGCCCCCCCCCCTTATCATTTCCACAATTTCTCTCTTACGCTTTTCTACTTCCTGTCTCTAATTTGCAGAGGCTGCAGTGATGTTAATCATCATTATTATTTAAAAAAAAAAAATTCAAAGGGGAGACAATTAATTATGTACATAGTGTTGGGATTCTTGCTGATCTGTGGCTTTGAACCCTGAATGGCACCTGTGCCTTGATGCAGCAGCTAATATTGGACTTGGCCCAGGTCACAGCTCAGGGCGGTGGGTTAATGGCCCACTTTGCCAGGCGGGGGCGACCTGCTGCCTCAGCACTCCTCGGCTCCTCACAGCCCAGGCTGCAGACGCCGGCGGAATACGGAGCCGCACTCACGCCCTCACACACACAGAGAGAGAGAGAGAGAGAGAGAGAGAGAGAGTGTGTGTGTCGAAGCATGTACAGTTTGTCCAACACCGTTGCTAACATTTCCTACTGACTAAGACGGCAACGTCAGGTACCGGCGTTGCCCAACAGTCGAAGACAACACAGCGTCCCTGTGTTGGTGGAAAAACAGAGAAGCTGTTGGTGATGCAACCCTCACTCTACTGTTGTTGTTACTTTGATGCCGAAAAGAAAAGAAAAAAAAAAAAAGATCTGTTTATAGTCTGATGTCTGCGCTCCAGGCAAGGACAGCATATATAGCACAGCGGAGACAGGCTGTTGACAAGCTAAACAAAGAAGTGAAGCAAACGCCGAGCCAGGTGGCGTTTTATGAAGTTAAAGCCAGGGTTGAAATTAACAGCAGCCACCAGTCGAAGATCTGCTGTGTGGATTTGGCAGGTAGCGGGAAAATGGCCGCCCGGTTCTGCTGGTGAAACTGAGCTGCAACAGGATCTGAGTGACTGACGGACAGACTGATGTTCTGACTGACTGACTCACAATTGGCTTTTTTGGCTGCCTCTCTGAGGACCGGACTGACTCACTGACTGGATGACTAATTTACCGACTGGCTGTCTGGTTGACTGACCGGGTGCCAAGAAGCAAAGCTTTCCCACATGTCCTCCTCCATGCCACATTTCCGTCGGGGAACGCGGCCTAGTCCCTTTCCCAGTGTTTACAGCGCGGAGCCCGGCCGTGGGAGCGTGGACCCACTTCGTCTCCAAACCGGGTCCTCGGAAGCGCCGTTTCTACGGCCGCCATTAATCAGCACCAGAGACTTCATTCCTTCCTCCTTGTTGCCACTCCTCTTCTGGCTCCTCTACGCCCACAGACATGCTGGATGGGGCCATTTTGAAAGAGTTAACAGATGTCGGCTGATTTGCCCCGGGCGTTCTGACAATGCCCGGGTGATGTATTTGATGTGGAGTTTATTCAGCTCTAATAAACGTATAAAGAATTAGAATAATAATTCACAGATGTATGGGCCCAGATGATTGGCCGAAGCCTCTCTTTGAA